ATATAATATTAAATTGAATGAAATGATTAAAAAATATTGCAAACCCCCGTTAGTATGCCTATGTATAAAAATACTAGTCATACAATTTGTATAGTATAAATTACATTTTGGAATAGCGTTGGAATAGTTTATACTATACCATGATTAGCCTGTATTATGTTATAATAAGCCTGCATTACTTACATAGTGTTTGAGCTGATGGGCCTGATATATACGTAGAGCCATGAACTTCCTTGATTTTTGCCACAGCCTCGTCTCCAAGAGCAAGCTATGTTAGGAAAAGAGAACAGCGTGTAACTTATATAAGACTGATAGCTAACTTCATATATAGACCTACATTATAGAAATATTATTTGGCCAAATTTCCCTGTGCTACCAGTAAAATTGAGTAAACATTGTTGCGCGCGTACGTTTTGGTCTGTAGCGCAATACAGTACACTGGCTTGGTATTTGCGTATGACAGCGTAGGCATATAATAACAATAATAATAATAATAATAATAATAATAATAATAATAATAATAATTATTATTATTATTATTATTATTATTATTATTATTACTATTACGTATTATTATTATTGTGTATTTAGGTGGGTCACTGTATTCGTTTTAAAACAATGTACTCACTAATTGTCTAGAGTTTTCTGGATCTGGCGCACTAGCAGAGTAAGACCACGGAGCCAGCCATAATTGAGAGTAGCTGTGCCAGTCCACAAACACTCTCACGTCTTGTGTCTTCTTAACTTTCATTAGATAATCCGTAACAGCTTTAATCTCGACCTCGGAATGTGGGCCGCTTCCACGATACGTAAGGGAACAGGCCCATGTACTAGCCCCTTCACCTGCCAGTTAACAAAAGTAATAGAAACTACTGAATGAGAAAAAAAAAAGTGTGCATGGAAAATAATAATAAGTTTAATAATGAGTTTTGGGTGCACTTTGAAAGTCAACAAAATTAAATTGAAAGACAAAAACAAATTCGATGCCAGCAAGAGTTTAGGCGGCAAACGTCTGTAGATGATGCAAATAATTATTTTCCCCACAGTCTGCCTACTCGTATTATTTTCATCCAATCACATGTGCATAAACAGCAAAAAGTCCCGGTTCGAATCCTGGTAGTGACAAGTTTTTTCACACTCGTTTGATTATTATTGTAATTATTATTGTACATCATTATTAATAATGAAAATTGTGCCTATTATGTGGGATGATGCCTATCAACAGTGAGTTTTTGTTTCATAGTAAGAGTAGGTAATTTAAATCGGAGGAAGAAAGTAAGACGATACCTCCCCATTTGTAGTCCCAGTTTCTGTTGGGATCAGTTCCTTTGCATGAGGTGCCCTGGTTGATTGACCTAGTTTTACGCCACAGACGATCCTGGAGTTAATAATGATGATGATAATATTTATAATGATAATAATAATAATGATAATGATAATAATAATAACAATAAACAATAATAAAAATATTATTAATAATAATTATAATGATAATAATAATAATAATAATAATAATAATAATGACAATGACAATAATAATAATAATAATAATAATAATAATAATAATAATAATAATAATAATAATAATAATAATAATGATAATGATAATTATTCTTCTTCTTATTATTATTATATTGGAAACAACTTAAACAATATAACAATAACGATAACAATAATGATAGTGATGATAGGCCTAATGATGGTGATGATGATGATAATGATAATGATGACTACAAGAATGATGGTTTGATGATGATATTGATAATGAAACGATGATAATGATGAAATTCCGATGACAACTACGATGACGATAAAATCACGATAACGATAACATAAAAATAATAATACGGGTAGTAAATACTACTAAGTAACTACTATTACTACTTATGCTATTATTAAACTATTATCATTACTACTTTTTGTTTTATATTATTACACAGAATATATTGTCATTATTACTTTTTTTTAATAATACACAGAATACTAAATTATATTGCATTTCTCACTTAGAGATTACTACAATGAAAATTATCAATATCAGCAAATTATTTAAATAAATTGAAAATGGAACGGAAAAGAATAATTTAATCGTAAATGTTTTAAGATGTTGGTGTATGTACTTATATAAGTAGCTCACCCCGTTTTCAGCCCAGGTGAAGACATATCCATCCACATTGAGTGACGGCACGATAAGCCAATCCAAGCCGTCGAGCAAGCGGACCTCCTCGTCACTGTCACTTGCATAATTTTCCAGTAACTGACAGCATTAAAAAAATAAATTAAAATTATCGTAAATATTTATTGCCCGCTGATTAAAAACTCTGCGAATAGGTCAAGTGAACTACCATATTCGATTTAAAATGAATCTCCGAATAAACTAGTTTTCGGAATTTTCCTGAATGACAATAAATTTGAAGATTGGTGAACAGAACCAGAAATTCTAAAGATGATTGGTGGCCTGAACAGAAAAGAAAAAGCATTAACATAAGTTTATAACAGAGAGAATGGTCCTCTAGAAGGTGTTTGTTGGCAGAACGAAGCCTACGAAGGAGAACATGGTGCATTAGCTATTGTAAAACATATGATGGTTTTTAAAGGAAAGGGGTTAAAAACTAATTTGAATATCTTGTAGGGGCCTATATAGGACCTAATCTGGAGCCATAAAGTGTATCGACGGGTGAAAACCGACACAATAATAATCACTTATTTTCAGTGGACCTTAAAAATATGACCATACAAATTCTCCAAATGTTTCGGATAGACACAAAAGATGATATGCCTATTATTATAGGGAGGATATTGGCCTAAAAACACTAGTGAGCTAGTGAGCTATATAATCCATCAAGAAACACGCCTAAAGCACGTAGCAACTGGGTTCATAATAGTTGTATCAATTGTCACTCAGATTAGCATTAAAAAGACGATATGTTTGTCGAGGTAAAGTCATGGACATAGGCACTCACTGCATCATACGACGAATCCAACTTTGGTCCCCGTGAGCGCTAAACGGTGCGCCGTCTGCTGATTGTCGGACCGGTGGGAAGTCTGAACGGATCGTCATTAAACACGATTCTTTGCGCGCGCGTCGTCGTGACGTTGCGTTCTTCATAAACGTGTACTATAACACGTCAGGTAGCGCAAACGTCGATTTGTATGTGAAAATGAACGTGTCTAAAGAAGTTTGCCATGGTTGCTTGTCTGTTCATTCCAATTTCAGCCTAATCCACATTATCTTGTGGTTTAATCCGATTAATTTCTTTATTCTATCTATTTAGTATTTTTTTTTTATCTTACCTTGCTTGTAAAATACATAACTGTTGCTGGAGAAATCCATTCTCTCGCATGAATACCGCCCTCAAACCAAACAACAGGTTTTCCACTCATTCCAGATCCCTTCAACTGAGATTCAATAATAAATAATGTTTTTTTTGGTTTTTTTTTAAAGGTGTATTGTTGGAATTCATAAATTTAATAATGATCAGAGGCGGATTCAAAGGGAGGGATTGGGTCAGCGACCCCTCTAAATGTTAGAAATTAATAACTGTATGGAGGAGATTAGGACATCATTCAATCAGTATTAGGAATTTGTTTCAGGCTGGTGTAACAAGCTAAAGATTGGTATTTTTAATGTACTTGTTAATCGTTTGAGTTATTGATATTTATTATATTTTGTATAAGCTTATTGTATCTTTTGCTTTGCCTGAATTAATAATAATAATAATAATAATAATGTGAATGAGCATGCGAGATGTGTATAAGAGACAGTATATATATATATATATATATATATATGCACAAGTGTCTCAATGCATATTACTGTAATGGGCCTAAAATTATGGCTTCATGTTAGGTCCATCGTCTATATTTGATAGTTATGTTTTTCGAGTAGGCCCTACCTGGTTTGCAGAGACCTTATTATTGCTATAATAGTAGAGACGATCTGGATTGTGGTTGTTTAATGCAACAACGTTCGGCATGAACATGTTTTTACGACTGCGCATTGAATAGTTTCGCACACAACAATACGTACATTTTAACATTCACTTTTCACGTCTATAAACGCGACAACACGATATATTACAATAATTGCGATATCTGGATGTTTAATTTCAATAAAGGATGAAATTATGACTGCGGGCCCAACATTAATTATGACGTCGTGCCATGAAGAGATCTTACCTCCTCGTATGTATGGTAGACACTGTAGTCAAATGAGGCTACGTCACTGCTACTCATCCTCCCATCCATCTTTTCCCGTTGATCATCTATTACCTTCTGAATATCGTCCATCATTATTTCATATTGTAGTCCAGCAGCTTTGAGGAGTGCTTTGACGTAGTACTGATGCTTTGGTTTTACCATGATATCAACTGGTCTAGCCAGTACCCTAGTAGATTGCCAGAACTCCACATTGTCCCCAAGCTCTTTCTCTATCTCGTGCATCACGTTCAGTTCACGCTTGGAATTTAACTTAACCCGCAAAACTTGATACCTATATGGTAGTAAAAAGACATTGTCACCCAATAAGCAAAAAGTATTAACGAATTATCACCACCTGAAAGTTTCAATAGAAAATAACTATGCCTATACCTGATTTTATATTTGGGTTACAACCAGTTAAATGTAATGGGTCATCTGCTCCAACAATGAATAATACTAACGTATTGTTATAGTAAACATTACATTTAACAAGGCCTGAAGCCAAGTAATGTATTATTAATTATAATTATAACAATTACTATACCCATCGTAACGCGTTTGTTCGCCGAAAACGACGGCAAGCAGACAGAGCCCCAAAACCACTTTGGAAAGCATTTCGTTACTTCGTAGAGACACTAAGCGAATGAACCAGGAATTGCAATATATTATGTTTAACATGCGTTAATCTTACTATCATTATACTAACAATTGAGATACATGTTATCAAACCTGCTGTTTAGTTCTCTTCCTCTTTCGTCCGTTACTAATTTAGAAGTACCTTGGAAGTTCTGATAAAATTTTTTATTACGGTACTGTATCATCCGATAAGTTGATTTTCGTATGGCGAATTTGTTGGTCCTCGCGCGCGTTGTCTTCCCCTCGGAACCTGTATCAATACTCTTCATAGATACTGTTGTAGTGTTGATATTGCGATAATTAAACTGTGTTGTGTTGATAGTAGTCCTACGTAACTCCTACCCCACCTGTTCCTTCTCACACTCTTCTTTAATAAGATACTGCGTTTAAATAATTTTCACTGTTGCGATGTTTACAGTTTACATTTGTTGAACATTGTGCTCGTTTCTTTAATGCTTTTACATAATACAAAGTCAAGGAAAGGCTTGGCAAATTAAACAGGTCTACTTATTCAATTTTTTTTTTTAAAGCGTCGGTTCATGCGCATTCACATTCTTATCGGAGTTTTTGCGACCGGGAAAAAATGCGCAACCAATCAGAGCTCTGGAAGCGACCCGACACTTTGATTCGCGCGAATAAATTCGCCTAGTGAAAAACCAGCTTTAAGCTACGTTCACATCAAGCCCGGTCCGGAGCCCGGACAAAAAATCGTGAGTTGCTACGTTCTTTGAACGCTGCGTTTACATCGCGCACGGAACACGGTTGTTCGGGTTAAGTACGTATGCGTTCGATTGGTTCAAACCATAGAGCTATTATTATTTATTCTTATTATATCTCTATGGTTCAAACCAACCAAGCTTGTTGCTGATTGGTCCAAGAAAAAAAGACCTACGATTTCAGGATACAAATGGCTGTCACATCCATCGGTCCGGAGTCCGGATTAGAAAACATACAAATTTGATGTAAACGGTCCTATTCTTTACCACTGAACCCATTTTTCACGATTTTTTCTCCGGGCTCCGGACCAGAATCTGGGCTTGATGTGAACGTAGCTTTAAGCCGGTTTTCCACTAGGCGAATTTATTTGCGCGAATCGAAGGCGTCGGTTCGGTTCCTGAGCTCTGATTGGTTGCGCACATTTTTCGCTTCGCAAAAAGTAGCAACAGTTGAACCACTAATTTCATTGAAGCGAAAACTCCAATAGAAATTTGAATATGCATGCGCATGAACCGACGCTTTCGATTTTCGCGAATAAATTCGCAAGTGGAAAACAGGCTTAAAGGCGGTTTTCCACGGCGAATTTATTTGCGAGAATCAAAGGCGTCGTTCGAAACAGTTCAAACTACCAATTTCACTGAAGCGAAAACTCCTGATAAAAATGTGAATGAGCATGCGCATGAAGGATGCTTTCGCTTTGCGCTAAAAAATTCGCCTTGTGGAAACCGGCTGGGTGTCTCAAAGGAGAGCTTCTACTGTAATTATATTACATCAAAACATATCACCCAAACGAAAGCATACGCAAACCTACATTATTATTTTTGTAGCGTGAACTCTAATTTAGTGAAGACACAAAGGCATAAATTCATAAATTATATGGGTGCTGGTTTGGGAAGGGTTTCTATTATGAGGGGGAGGAGTGTGGAGTTTGAGGGGTGTATCCTCCTGAAAACTTCGTCTCATATTCACCCCCACCCCTGGATTCGCCACCAATTAGTTTACTTTTTAAATAACTGACTTGCCTCATATAGAGCATCCCTATGAGGTAGAATTGCTGTAAGGGATAACTTTCTTGAAATACTTTTAATAAATAGACGCGAAAAGTTTATATTTCACATGCAAAATATATTTTTATTTCAAAATTTTCTGCGTAGATTTTGGGCTTTCCTGGTTTTATAATATACACAATGACATCTTATAAACGGAAAAACATGTATACACAAAACATAGGAAACACATACTTTAGTCTGTTGATGATTAGTTAGGCTTAACTTAAAAAGAGAAATATAATCGGTAATACAGTACATTGGCCCTACAAAACAAAACATAATAACAACACCAATAATAATAATAATAATAATAATAATAATAATAATAAGTTATTACAATAGTAATAATATATACATTTGAACTGCATAGTAAGGCTGCACAAAACTAAGCAGAGTTGGTTTTACTACATTTTTGGTCTTTGCTTCATTAGATGATTATTATATGTTTTTTTTTTAATTTATTTACAATGTCTGCATTTTAACACTTCATTTAAAGCAATTGGTAATAATAATAATGACTAATAATTCATAAAAAAAACAAAACTATAGTATGTTGCAAAATATGTTAAAAATGTTGTCATCAAAAAAATCTAAACTGAACGTAACCAATAACAGGACAAACAACAAAATAGTTTAATAAATAATATAAATGTAAATGTGGCCAATGTTACAGAATACTATGATAACAAAAATTGATCAAGTCGTTTGCATAAACTACATTGAGATAACATACAAATATTGATAATAAATGATAAGAAAAACACCCAGGTAGCACACAATACAGGCAAAAGCATAACATCAACTGCATCAATACCAGGACAACTTGATATATAAGCTTGTTGGCAAGTGTACCATAAAAAAATGGTGTGTATTGGGAAGGGGGTATGGGGTAGGGAATGGTTTGGAATGGTGTGGAACTATATATCAGATCAGACACTTTCAAAGTGACCGATAGCAATTGAAGTGTCTGTCAGATATAATCTGTCTAAAATACTGACCTAAGTTCTTCATTGAGTTTCTGATTGGTCTATTAAAGTTAAAAATGCTAACGTTACAGCTGATTGGTCTGTTAATGTTCGAAAACACCTATAACCTGACAACCAATTGGTTTATTAATTTTCGAAGCCAGAACATAACAGCTGATTGTTCCATTAATATTCAAAACACATAACCCAAGAGGGTAAAATAAATGACAACAAATGAAAATACATAAATGAATTGCCTCACATATTTTTCATCCTGAAATTCACATTTTACATAAAATATACTTCACAATAAAATGTTTCTCCCCCTATGTAATTGTCAACAAGTTAATAACAATTTGTAATACAAAGTAATTTGTATCATCAGATAATTTGCACTTAATAAAATCTACTTAAAATTACAAGTAAAAAATATCAATTGAAGTTTAAATAGCAAAAGTTAAATGGCCAATATTGGCATGAAAACACCAACAATGACCGAAAGACATTATACAATTAATATACAATATATATGATGACATCACTAGACAAAAACAATACATTTCCGAAAATAAATTTTACAGATTGCATTTTAATTAGTTTAGTGCTTGAGAACTGTTAGCATTATAGCAAATAAAAATTAGATTTAATGCTATTATTGTCTATATAATATAAAAACTAACATAAATATTTCATTGCAAACATTAAAAAATTGTTTTATATGAAAAAAGTACACTTGATCTCTCCAACAAATATCTAAAATTAGATCTAGGTTTTGAGTGATTTGTACATCCTAAATTAATAGTCACTGTTAATCAATGTACATTCTTCATATTGGTGGGCTTATTATTTAATAATTGATACTCAATGTATATTCTTAATATTGGTGGGCTCATTATTCTAATCTAAAAATCTATTTTCCACTTATGATATTTGTCAATGTTTATTATGGTGTTGCACTTTGGAAGATCACAATTTCAATTTATTACAAAGTATTATTTGTTATTGAATATTATCATTATCATAATTACTTATTTTCAAAGAATTATAAGAATGGTGTGATTGCAAAATTGACAAGAGGTGGGATTAAACCAGCGGCAACCTAGGGGTCACTCACCCATTGAAAATGTTTGAAGCAGAAAATCAAGATCAAAAGTTAAAGGTAGCGAGCGCCCCATACATTTTCATTGATCTGCCCAACATCACCCATTTCAAGACTCCAAGATGCCAATGGTTTAAACTGAGGTGGGAGGAAGGGGTGGGGTATGAATCAATTTAGTCACAACATAATCAATTTTAAAGCATGGGTGGGTCTATTTATATCTTAATTAATAATGCTTCAAAAGAGAATTTCCCAATTTTATGTAATTTCGAAAATTAAATGCATTATGGATAAAAGATTCCGGATGATGACATAATTACTGTAATGTTGAAATATTGATCCCACACCATGGCGTGTATTTCAATACTTGGTGATGTATTATATGTTCTTAGAAAATATGTTTTTGAGTTTGATTAAATACATGTATATCTCTTTAAAATCAATATCTCATAAACATATATTCATTCCTTCTGTTTTGTTCATGCGGTGGTATAAGTATGGTGTACATAGTGGTATATATATCATAATATAATATAATATGGTATAGTGGTATAGCATAGTATATAGTATACTATAATAGTGGTATTGCATAGATTAATCAAGGCTGAGATGCATTAATTCTATTATTCAAGCACTGTGGAAGGCCACATGATACAAATAATTATTTCAGTTATCTTAAAATAGTTAGTTATATAACATTAAATTAAATAAGTTATACAGTATTACTATAATATTAATAATTATCAACATATTTCATATAACAATAAATAAATAAATAAATATATCAATTTTCATTGATGAGTTTTAGGAAATACATTTGATAGTATATTAATGTGGACAATTTTAAAGTTGATGCCCTATTCAATTTTAAAATAGAATCATTATAAGTTTGATCTCATATTACAAATTTTATTTAGTTTAGGCATTAACAATTGTATAGCACAAAATGGTTGTACTTCCTTAATACTTAATACTCTGTATCATTAAAAAAAAATAAGGAAACAACCTCCACAGAAAATACTTTCACTTTCAAATGGCAATAAAATAGAAAAAAAAAATTATATATATGAAATGCAATTGCTCATTTAAAAAAACCAATATCTTATTAACATACCAAATAGACATAAATCATTTTTTTTAAACTTTTAAAATCACAAACATCTTCTTAACTGGAGGAAAAACACTTTTTTGATATTTTGTACAACTGATTTCTGATTTTACCGTGCAGCACTTATTACCCAATGAATTATCGGAAAGCAGCCACTTTGTTATTTTTTTCGCTGCATAAACCATGCCCAAAGTTTCTGATAAATTTTCGCATGAGAATTAGATAACTTATCGGAAAAAGCTTTGAATGCGAAAATAATAACCTTTGACCAATATCAAATCATGGTCATGCAAAGAATTCTTTTGGGTAGTTAGTATCTAATGCAACTAATAGTAGACCTAGGGGCCTACACCTTGTATCAAACACCGCATCAAAAAAGCAAGTACATTTATTGTGCTTATTAAAGATTTTAAAAAGCCTGATTCGGCTGCGTTTGACATCGACAGTGCCTGGCTGGGCCTAAGTCTATCTCTACCTATTGTTTATTATATCGTACAGCACACCAAACACAGCTAGCATTCTTTTTCGTCTTCTCACTCCCTATATACAAGTACAATGAAACATCATTGTAACAGTACATTTCCCAGAGTGAAATATCACCGAACGATTTAATTCTTCACACAGGCCTACACATCTCGCGCAAAAAAAGGATCACCTGCTAGGTCAACAAAACCGATGTTTTCATGTTGAACACATTGCGTTGTTGTCCATAATTTTGCATGATGGGATAAAATATTATCAGAGAAATCATAAATGCTGCGGAAACACGGCCTTTGACACAAAAATGGTGTTTTGACGAAAAACTTGGAAATGGATAATGAGATTTTTTGATATTTAAAAGCTGGTCAAGTCCCTTCCCCACTGTTTTTAAATAATCTAAATAATCAAAAATAAAAATCTATAACTCTTTATTCATTCCTGGGTTTTGTCATCAAAAGTATCTTTAAAAAATCAATTGTGCACCATATAAACAAATTCTTTCCCCTCCGGAGCCTGGCTTTAATACAAAGAAATATAGGAATGGCATTATTTAAGCATTTGTTATTTGATGAGGAAAATATTTTCTTTAATCAAAGGTAGTGGCTTACCTAAATATACAAGTACGCAATTTTTAATTTTAAAAAAAGAAGATTTGCATGACGAATGGCAATAATTATTATTATATGCATTCATTACACCATATGGCATATGCTACAAATCTCAATTGATGTTATTTGGTTCTGAGAAGAACCATTTAAATAAAAAACACACACTCAGCCTCTATTTCAAATTTGTTAATTAGTTCAGTAATTAAAAAACATAACACTGAATGTCCAGTTAATCAGCAAGTGAAGGATAATTAATTTATATTTAATTAGTAACTAAATTGGAAATACTTATCGTGGAAATACTATTAGTAGAGACATTTTAAAAAGCAATGTATAGATTGGTAAGTGGCAGCTATGAACTGTAAACCATCTTCACCCATCCTTTACCTATTAACAGTACATTCTTCTCCAATTTTAAATTTTTGTTCGCTTTTGTCCTACAGTATGCAAACAAACAGCTCCCTCACTTGAATGTCTGAATTTGAATATTATTGTAAGATGGCCCATAATAAGTAATTTGCTTGTTTCCTAGCAACAGTCACCTTTGTGTTTTTCTTCTTTTTTTAAACTACTTGGACTACCTGAGAGTGTTATGGTTTTTTCTGATTCTAAAAAAAAAAACAGAAATAAATCCGGTGAGAAAACTGATTAATAATGTTATATAAGGAATTATAAATATTCGCCAAAATTAATGTTATATAATACTATCGTAATAATGCTAAATCAAGACAGCCCTGCGGAGATTATATTGTGGCAGGCGAAAACAAATAAAACCCTATTTGTGTGGCCCACCAACCATCTTTGGCTAGAAAACCCTGTTTTTGATGACCCAACACCGATCATCTGTAAAAAGTAATATTAAAAATGAGCATAAAGTGGTATAAAGGGAGTGCAAAAAAGGTGCGGCCCTCAGTGTTAAATCTACAATTCACTTTGTCCCTGTGACCAATTTTTATGGCCACCCATGTGCTAAATGACAACAAAGATGATGATAAAATAATGTTTACAAATTTTATGATATAAATATAAACAAATAAAAGAATATAATTAAATTAACAGTAACAAAACTATTTTTAAATGAAAAAATACTATTTTGGTGTTCTAACCTTCTAACATTTTAAAATGAAGTTGTCCTGCCTACATTTCCCCCACAACCTCCCCCCAACCCCCTCCCTTGGTGAATAAATGTTTCACTTACTACTATTACTAAGAAGATTGCTTCCCCCTCCTATCCGTTTGCCAACCATCCTTGAGTCAATGTCGTCCAGTTCCTTGCACACTGAGTGATCAAAAGACATTGCAGCCACCCTTTCAAAAAAATCTGTTACATTTTCACCTGCAATCAATAAAAAAGTGTTTTAAAAAATTTATCATTAATATTTGATTACAGTACAGCAACAAAAAATAATTATTAATGCTTATTACAGTAATTGTTGATTGATACTAAATGGTTTAACAAACAAATAAAAAAGCATATAAAATAAATAAACAAACAAGCAAATAAAAATATAAATTAATATATAAACAAATTTCAACAGGTCTCCCTCCAATTATAGACCGCTTTTGGGAATGGGGTTTCCGTGGTCTTTATCAACTTTGGTCTCTAATTAGAATAATAAAAATAAAAGACATTTCTTAATTTGGGACCACAGAAAAGTGGTCTTTAATTAGAGGTGGCCTTTAATTGGAGGAGTCGTTAATTACAGGGAGACTAGTATATTCAATCCCGCAATGTCAGAAATGTGACTTTTTAGATTGACAAAGTAAACTTGTTTAATCAATTTTTGATTTCACATTGTTATTAGTACATTACTAATTTTAGAGACGCAGGGTTTTTAAGGAAATCTCCAGCTAGCAATATGAGCACGTGCAAAACGTTCAGATTGGATCACATGGTTTCAGTTGTGCTGCGTTAAAGTAATAAGAAATCCTAATGATTTAAATTACCACATTATATATGTAACAATTGCCCTTGAGTATTAGCTGGCCGTATATGAATAACTGGAAGGGTCGCTGTCCATAAAAATGGTAAAAAATGTTTCTCTCACAAGATAGGTCATCATTAATCTTGGGCCCACATAAAATAATAACAATGTGTGGTATGTCAGTATATACTGACCATTTCTAGAAGTGTTATCCAGATAAATATATATAATAATATTATACTTTTCCCATATAATTTTCCAACCTTTAAGTGTTGAATTTTGTATTTGCTGTTCAATAGGGGTATAGTAATCAAATAAATTTAAAAAAAATAAACAAATGCAACCTCTTCTCCTCCCATAGGGAGATTCAGCACTGACTAATATATAGATTATTTTAACCCTACCAGGTATCCATCCATTATACTCCTGGATGAACAAGACAATAATATACATAAAGCGCTTAGCAAAAATTCACTAAGTCAAAATGGACAGTACACAATTTGAGCCTCATCCACATATGAGTGAGAACCTGAGTCAAAGCTGCTGCACCAACTGTTCTAAAAATTTAATTATTTTAAAATAAAACATCCTGACCTCTCCAATATGCTATACTGGCTATGCTAAAATGGCATACACGACAAAGCCATTTCCATACAACTACAGTGCTACTATGAAAAACCACAAGTTTTAGTTTTAGTTGGTGTGAGCTGTCCTTGGGATGAATTACAATACATAGTTAGCACTTTGTAACTGTAAGGATAAGCACTATAGATAAATATGATATTTACATGTAAATATTTATAGTAAACACTTGCATTTCTTTATGCAAATATCTTGTAGCATCCTAAATAAGAGGTTGACCTTTGACCTAATGTCACCGAGAGGTCATTTGGCAAATCAAATGTGTGATTTGGATTCTTTGGGGGTTTTTTTTATATTTGTACCCAATACATCTATATGCTCAAAATGTAATGGTTAAGGAGAACTTTAGCTGCAAAGTTTCCAAATGGTGTCCATTTTGAATATGCAAATTAAGTAATTAAGTATAAGCCAATCAAGGTAGATTTTGGATATGCTAATTGTAACAAGCAAAAGAACATTCTTCAGCAACGAAACAAACTTTTGCAATTTGTTTGACTGGGAGATCAATTTCTACTTGTCTATATAGAAGAAACAAGTAACAAGTCAGAAACCACTAAGAAGATGCAGACATTCAAATTTTAGTTGGAAGACATGTCAATAGAACTGCCTATAGTCCCTCACCAGTTAAAGACGACACTGCCCAGTATTCCGCTGCAATATCAGTTGCTAACTTTGTTGCTAAGCCCTCTAATTCATGTAATTGATGGTCTGCCTGAGAAGTAAAAAGATTTGTAAGATAATTGTAATATTCTATCATGGTTTAATATTGCATTACTTATTTCCTGGTGATGAAATATTATACAGAAAACGAATATATTATTAAACAAAATCAAAACCTTTATCAAGAACATCTATAAAATACATTTAACAGTGTTATTAAAGTGATAATTAATTATTATATCAATTAATTAGTATTTTCCAAACTTACACAAAGATCCTTCTTTGTTCCAACTAAAAAAATATGAGCATCTGGTCTGCATTCATTCTTAGCCTCATCGTACCATTTCTTGGCATGCTGGAGTGTGTATGGGTCTGACATGTCAAATACTATAATAACAACTAATGACAACAAAGAAAAAAATGAAATATTTTATATAAAGTTTAAGTTAGAATAATAATTTAACTTATACTGTATGATGTCGAACTTTTGATTTGGTACATCAAATCGCCATGTACACTTTATTATTTAAACTTATTGTTTGGGGCTAGACTCAATTAGCTTGTATGCTATTTTTCTCTAGTTCCTATTACCCATCATTTGATTTTCTTTTATATGCTGTATAATCTGTTATATTTATGGGTAATAAATGAAAGAAAGAAAGAAGTACGAAATCAATTTTTTGAAATTATATAAAAAAAGAAAATAATAAAATAAATTTTATTAAAACCAAACTATATACAGTATCTGTACTATGTATGTCAATTTCTTGTTTATATTACAGTATTTTACTTTTACATTATATTTTCAATATTTTTTTTGTTCATTGAATGTTTGCAGAGAGAATTCCCTAATGGTCTGCTATGATGGTGGTCAATAAAGACCATTATAACAACCTCCGGTAGCATAATGACACTCTGCCTGCCTGTGACAACCATTAAATGGGTTGACAGTTAAGGTTAAAACTTAAGTATAACACTTAAGGTTAACACTTAAGGTAAATAATAAATGTCATTACCATGGGCACCCCTGTAATAAGCTGCAGCTATGCACTTGAACCTCTCCTGTCCTGCAGTGTCCCATCTACAAATATGAGCATTGCACAAAGCATGAATACATGAGAAAGAATTAGCAATATTTCTAGCAGTAAATCAAGTTTAAAAATTATGAAACAGATATTGAGGCATAAAAATGAAACCATACAATGAAAGAATGTACAGAATACTGTACAATATGAATGACTGCATGTATGAAATGAACGTAAAGTACAGTATGTGAATGAATTTGAAAATGAGTGTATGCAGTTTGTGAGTAAATCCATTTTGAATTCACACATGCATAAATGGATAGAATGTATGCTAATGAAATTTTGGTACCGTATATTCTCGCGTATAAAGCGATCTGAGTATAAAATGACCCCCGAGTTTGAGAAAATTATTTAACTATTTTTGTGTATGCTGCGCATATAAGACGACCCCCTGTTTTATGACTGTAATTTGCTATTTTAAGCTTCGTCTTAAATACATGAGAATATTCAGTATGTAGTTTATAAAAATGAATAATTTAATGGAATTTTTTTTAAGTGAGTAAATTGATGCTTGTACTTTGAATGAAAATGCTGTAAATATGAATGAGTGTATAAAAAGTGAATGAATTAATGAAGTTTAAAAAAAAATTATGTATCACGTTTGAACTTACATTTGAAGATTGAACGGTACGTTAAGAATGTCAAACCTCTCGACCTCAAAGTCAACCCCGATTGTTGCTTTATAATCACGATCAAACACTTGGTGACAGAAACGATTCACAAGACAGGTCTTACCAACTGCTACATCCCCTATCACTATTGCTTTAGAAACTTTCAATCTGTAATTGATTAATTTTAAAAAGTCAGACCGCTGTTAAGTAACAGATTGAAATAATCAAATTGAAAATAAATATATTTTTTTGCAATATGCTCATATAAATAAGAAAAGCAAGGCTGCATAAATATATAAATGTAATGTTTTATGCCAATAGGGTAGTGTGTATACATAATATTTTAAATACACACATTTTTAGTAAACTCACCCAACTGTTCCAGTTTTATTTGACAGACAGGCAGTCCTTACTTTGCTACTAAACTCGTTCTGTTTGTATGGTGTAGCAATATCTAGATAGCACTGAAAATGGGATATTATGATAGATTTTACATCATTAAACCATCACTATATAATTGGAATACACCTAGAGCTAAGTCCAAATGAGAGGATGGATTGACAACGCACTAAATATCACCTTAACACACGCCCCTCAATAAGTCACTCTGTATAATAAGCCAATACCAAGATGTGCATTGTGCCAACTGCACTAGTATCAGTACCAGAATAAAAAAATAATAATTTTACTTTTAAGCCTATACACTTACAGTATTTCATTAAATAAGTGTGGCATAAATTGTAAACATCATATCATAATCAGCCAATAACAGTATGGTAGTTAATCTCTCAAAACATTCATCAGTGACATAAACTCAACTGAAAATTTCCAGTCAATGATGGCTAGAAACTCTTTTTTACAAGAATGTTCATGAAAATTGTTACATTTATTTTTCATAAATTTATACAATTCAAGATTCAATTTAATTGGTCAAATAAAATTGAAATAACATGAGTACATTCATTTTCATTAAAATATTTAAAATACATGATATATAAAATATACAATAAAATATTGACTAGTATTTTAGTCTATTTCCATACATCTGTAATTAGGCAAACTTTCTTTAGCAACTACAGACAGAAGTCTGTTCTGGTGGAAATATGCATAACTATTGTAAATATTGTTTTTAAGATTTTGCCTTTTCTTTAAAAAAGGTTGTGGTATTGTTCCAATGATTTTACATACATCCGAGACAAGGTGCTGAATGTTTTTTTTTTAAATTTATTTCAACAATCTTCGATGAGGGTGGTCAATCCAGCCAGAGCTGATCATTAGGGCTTGACACTAACTTTCCTTAACTGCTTTATTAAATTACACTTTTTTATATAAATACCCATTCTTAATTGTATTTGTAAAGTAAGGCATGCATGGGGAATATAATCCTCTGCGCAAAAATTTGGCCTTGAAATCCGGGCAAATTTCTGCACAGATTTTGCCGAAAATTAGGTTTTTTCCTAATCTTAATATATATGTATAATTAATGCAGCAAATCTATTTCCTAGTGATTTTCCGCACAAATTAAATTTAGGAAGTTGGATATATTTAAGTCGCCATAAACAAATCAGTAAACGATATATATATGTGAAATAGATAACACATGCGCAGTCAACTATATTTTTTTGGGTGAACTGACCGTTAACTGCCAATGTTGTTTTTGTTTGAATAAAACATTAAAATACATGTTTTGTCTTACTTTATTCATAACGATTAAATATCTTTAAAATACATTCATAAATATGGGAACCAGTCAATTCGAGCGGATGCCACTTTGAGCGATTGCGGATTTGAGCGGTTTCGAGCGGAATTTATTCGAGCAGATGCTAGTTCGAGCGGAGAAAAAATTCACTTGTGCAAACAACAGCCTGTGCGAGTTATGTATGAATTACTTTAAAATTTCCTTTTTTGAGCTAACAATTTGCATTCGGCCGGGGCTCAGGCTTTGCCTGGGAGCCAGGCACTGGCGTATCTAGGGGTGCGTGGGAAAGGACACCCCTCCAAAAATCACTCGCCCCCAGTCGCCCCCCCCAAAAAATAAATCAATTGCAAGTAGTTAAAAATCACCTTACTTTGCGAGTTAGCATCCCTCAACTGATCATCGAGCCCCCTACTTAACCTTTGCGCCCCCAATCAGCACCCCCATTTCAAGACTTCTAGATACGACACTAGAGCAAAGGGAAAAGCCCCGGTGGGGTCCGGGGGTGAAGCCTATAGCCTTATGTATAAAAAAAAATCGTATTTAATTGATTTATAAGGTTAACAATTTACAATTAAACATACCTACGTTTATAAAAATAATGTTAAGTCATTGTTAATCTTTCCACATGCTAAGTTTTAAAAAAAGTGGGTTTTGAACTATAGACAAATGGTTGAGTAGTGGAGAAAATTCGTATGATGTCTATTACTGTGCTGTTGATAGTCTTGTCACAGGGGCTGAAGGATCCAGAATTTTTCAAACGGCGGGGTGTGGGCACAACAGTTTCAGAATACTGTAGATAAGTGAGTAGCATATAACATTACTGTAATATGCATTGATATTTTAAAAATTTAGTGGCAAGACGAGGGCGGCACGTGCCTCTCCCGTCCCCTACACTGGATCCGCCCCTGTGTCACACTACTACACCAATGATTTGTGCATCTTCTGATACCATATACGTAAAAATATTTTTAATTTCTCTGGTGAATAAAAATTACAATTACAGTTACTCCCATTTACAAATATAGGCCTAAATCGTAAATCTACAAATACTGTTACAACACTATATAATTCAACTAACTGGAGACAAAAACTGTGAATTCTACGTGCGAAATTCTATAGTTTTGAAATATTGGGCCTAAGTGCTTTCTAGCGGCCATCTTTTAGACATGGAATAATTATCAAAAAGTACAAAAAACATTTCAGAACTTTAGTGCACAGAGCATTTTTTGCATATAAAACAAACAAATACAAAAATAGGGCGACGATAAATTCGCCCTTGTTGTAGTTCGCACTAAATACATCCGTTCAAACTGGCATCCGCTCGGACTGGCATCCGATTGAATTGACTGGCATCCAATATTTTTTACTTCTTGCTTATACTCATAGCATAGTTCGTAGAGTGTGGATCACATGCTCTCTAAACCTGGTCATTCTTGGAAGTACTTCTCGCTCGATGGTGTCTCAACGCTTGACCCAACTAAAGTATGACTGCGCATGCGTTATGTATTTTACATAGATATATCGTTTACTGATTTGTTTACAGTCACATAAATATACCATCTTCATTAAATTTAAGCAGGTTTTTTAGCTAAACAAATTGAGGTATCATCATCGATGCAATTCAAAAACTTTACAGTATGCCAGAGAGACGGACTTCTAAGTCCATCTAATAAAATATTCTTCCCCATAGTGCAGTTCCTATTTACATAGGCCTACATCATTATCTACGCCTATTATGCTAGTCCAAATTATACTGTCTAGCCTAGGACTAGGTCTAAACTACAGGATTGCAACAGAAGACAGGTCGGGACAGATGAGTTTTAATCCCATGTCCACCGATTCGGATTAGTACGCAACAACAAGTCAAAAGTGAGAGTGTTACTGAGTCAGGGCTTACCGCAGGAAAGCATATGATGGACCGTTCCCTTGGTGTTCTAGATAAACTGTTCATCTCTTCCTTTGTAATTTGAATTGAAACAGCTGAAAGTGTTACTAGGCCTACCAGCCCTATAACCACTTCGATAATTATATCAAACAAAACACACCGCTTTACAGATCAACTTTCGTGTCTGTTTTGTTGACAGTAACTGTTGTGTTGCGTGATCATCGATGAACGAACAGGAAAACATAGAGATATAATAAGAATACTAGAGCGCTAACAGCAATGTATTCGTTGTTCGAAATACGCAGAGCTGTGTGTGTGTACCATCCAAGATGGCTGCCATAGATTCAGCCAATCAAATTTCCCCTGAACACTATCATTTTCAATTGCGCCCTCAATTTACACAGAATGTTCAGTACAGCTAGTTACCCGTATTTTGAAACTCGAGCGATGCGGTGTAGGGGTGTAATGTACACGATTTTAATTCTTTTTAATATTTGAATAAGATGCTCTACTTGGCCTCTTTTTGGCTACGACAGTTTAATAATTTGTCATTATCAATACTAATTATCATTAATGAAATAATATTCAGTCAGAAGGCTTATTTATGGTAATAATATGTATAATAAGCCTGAAGGTGGCGCTTTCCTACGGCAGCCATCTTGGATGGTACACATACACAACTCTGCATTGCTCCGCCATCTTGTCAGCACTGTTGTTTAATAGCTCTATGCAGGAAACACAAATGGATTGTGGGAGTGTTAGGATTTGTTTGTTCGTGAAAAATTTCACAATCTGTACAATATGAATTATTTCTGTTAAGGTATTTACCGTAAAAAATGCCTTTTTGATTATTTAATAATACATTAAAAATTATATTCATCATATAATTTATTTTACATATTATGAGGATTATAATCAATAGTCTGGTAACACTGTAATATATTATCTAATTTTATCAAGTAAAACTAAAAGTAAGATTTCTGTCTCTTTTTCCAACATGGGTCCCAAAGCTCGATCGCAAGGTTAGAAGACTCTAAATTTGCAACATTTTGTACACTAAAACGAACATATTGATTACAATTTAATGTGATATTTAATATTAAAAATAGTCTACTTATGAACAAGTATTAGATACTCGTTGAATTATTTTGTAATAAGCTTATTTTCAATTAAAAAAAATATGCCATCAACTCTCCGACCACATGTGAATGTCATGTTTGGGTGAATTCCGTTTGGGTCGTACGTACGTAGGAAAATGCGTACGTAGGCAGGGCACCACCTGGCCTAGAGAGGCTAGGCCTACCCGGTTGGGCCTGGACCTCTAGTCTCCGTACGACTAAAACATGGGGTGTACGACTTGGCAAACCTTAGTACTTAGGCCTATAAATGGACTGAGTGCCCCCGTTTAATTTTGTATTAAATTTCTATGTAATTTATATGTGATATTTTGTTATTTAATTATTATTTAGTTGCCAAAACAGTGTTGGAGGTAGCTTGTTTGTGTTAATGTTACTGTTGTTAGTTGGTACAGTTGTGTTTATTGTTAATTTACAGCACAAAGAAAAGCTGGCAAGAAGGGCCCTGCCACACAGGAATCTGCATCAAAAATTGAGGCTAAAGCCAAAAAGGATGATGTCAAGGCAAAAGCAAAAGCTAGGAGCGATGCATTGAAGGCAAGTTCAGTTGACAAGGTTTAGTGTAATTATAGTTAATTTACATGTATATTCATATTAATTCATACCCTGTATTCATTGATCATTAATGAAAATGATTTATATTTTGTTTAGGCCAAGAAGTCTGTGATGAAGGGAGGCATTGCAACTCGCCAGAAGAAGGTGCATTACAAGGTCACCTTCAGGAGACCCAAGACCCTCAAGTTACCTCGTAATCCTAGATACCCAAGAAAGAGTGTACCAAGGAGGAACAAGTCAGTAGCCTTGCATACCATTATAATATTCTTAATTCGCGCTCAACAGGCAATGTTTGATCTTTAATGAAGTACAGTATTCTCTGATTTGATTGACTGGTATATCTGAAAATATAATGTAGAGTAGTTTATGATTTCTGTTAAATTTTTCTTTGCTCTTGTTGCTTATGTAAATATGTATTATGCAATGAATAAAAAAAATTAAATAAATAAATAAAAATACAGTTGAACTTGCCTAGTCGAATCCAAAATGGCATTGAAAAATTTTTCGACTTTTAGGTATAATTCGACGTACAGATCATTAATTAATGGAAAACACAAAAATTTGGCATGTAAAATAAGATTGACTTAGGCAAGTTTAACTGTATATTTAAAAAATGTCTGAAACCATAAAAATAGTGTTTGGTATTTACTAACCCATTTCTTGCCTCCTGTTATATAACCTGGATTAGAAATGGATCTGATACTCTTTCATTAATACTGTATCTGCTTTAATTTGTATAATTTTGTTTGTTTTTTGAAGGTTGGACGATTACAGCATCATCAAATTCCCTCTCACCACTGAGAGTGCAATGAAGAAAATTGAGGATAACAACACGCTTGTTTTCATAGTCGCCCTTAAAGCCAACAAATTCCAAATCAAGACCGCTGTCAAGAAACTGTATGACATCAAAGTGTCAAAGGTCAACACACTAATTAGGTGAAAATGTATTTCCTTTATTTTTAAAGTAGAGCAAATAAGTTGGTCCTCATAGCAACTGCAGTGTAGCATTACCCCTGGTTGGAAATTTGGCAATAAACATTTGGTCTGTTTCTGCTGCCAAAAAAATACTGTATATATATATATATATATTTATATATATATACGGTATTTTTAAAACACTGTATTTTTTGCAGCAGCAGCAGAAATGGGGATCATAAAAATATACCGTATTTTATATACCATATTTTTCCCCACTATTTTTGTGGAATTATTCCGGTATTTAGCAACAGATACCATATTTTTCATACCCCATTTCTGCTGCCTATAAAAATACCGTGTCTTGTATGACCCCTGACATGAGGTCAAGAGCCAACAGAGCATGACACGTCTCACGAAAGGCATTTTGGGTAATAAAAAGGATCTTTTAAAAACGACCACCCAAGAAGTACTTTTAGCAGAAACGGGACACTGGATTTCAGATACCGTATTTTATACGGTATACTTTATACCGTAGTTTGAAGAGAAGCAGCAGAAACAGGCCCATTGCTAGTCCCATGTTCTTTTCCAAAGAGAATGTAAATTTGGGCAGGGGGAAGATGTACAGTCGACCTTCCCATTTACGAACTTCTCATTTACGAACCTTCTATTTTACGAACATTCGGCCGATGACGTCATCGCTAGATTTATTCGTCTAATTTTTGCTATTTTTATTTATTTTAAGAAAAACGAATTACAAAGGTCATAAAAAAATGCATTATAGTACTAGTTATACAGTACATTTCATAAATACATCATACTACTTTAGGCTTAGGAAAGTCAAACCAATACATGATGTAAAATAATCAAAACTAGCCGAAATTTAGGCAGGCAGTGCATGCTGCTAGGCTAAGTGCAAAGCTGGCAGCCTATACCAGGGGCCTACCCTACTCTGTCTTATGGTTACCTGCGGTCTAAATGCACTGTAAATCGAATCAGCTAGTTTGAGTATAGATTATGGTAACATCAACCTTTTATCCTTTTAAGAATAAATCACTGTTCGGATATTCAATAAGCATCTATGTTATTTGTTTTTCACTGTCAAAAAACGATTAGCAAGAGCTGCTCTATTTTTAGAAATGACATCAGCAATTACCCATTATTCAATGCTACAGGCACCAAAACCACATGTTTGGAAGTCAGGAAGGTCGAAAAAAATAGGAACCGTTTCTTTTTTTAAATTATGCAATGATACCATGACTAAATTAAATAAATAATAAGCCTCTAATTAATATCAATGTTTGTTTACTAATTTAATTTGCTACAAATTATGGAGAGATGCCAGTTAAAGTTAGCAGAGAGCTTCTGCTAGGCCCAGCTTAACCTTGGCTAAACCACCACTGTATGTTGAACAGTCAGCCTATTAGTGACATGGAAGATTAGGTCGGTCTATCCATGAAACGATTTCCTTAGCCTATTATGAATCGATATTTAATATATTAGTTTGCTTGCATTAACATTTAATTGATTCTTCAACGATTTCTATAAATGTTTATTGAACACTTAAATGCAAAATTAAGCCTAGATGTTGGTAGGCAGGCCTAATTATAGGCCACAACTTGGCGTTTTTAAACTTGAGGGCGCTATTCTTACGAACTTCTTATTTACGAATTTTCTCAATTACGAACTGCTTTCAGCCCAAGGTGTACGTAAATGGGAAGGTCGACTGTAAGATGGTTTTGCCAGGGAGGTGATGGTGTAAAGTGCCAATTATGGACCAGTGTTCTGTTACCACTTGTGTCCCGTTTTACCATTTTGGCCTTGTTTCTTAGAATTTGAATATTAAACATGCAGTATCTGTATGTATGTATTCACATAAACATATTAAAAAATATTAGCATTAATGGTCAGGATTATTATTATTATTATTATTAAACTGCAATCAAATTAGTTAAAACAGTTATTTTAATATTACATTGATAAAATCAATTTCAATCATTTTTCTCAGACCTGATGGACAGAAGAAGGCTTATGTAAGGTTGGAATCTGACTATGATGCTTTGGATGTTGCAAACAAGGTATCTATTTCCACATTTATTTATTTTTTTCTATTTCTTCCATCTAACATTAAATGCACTGACCAATTACAGGATGGGTTATTGTGATTCGCTATAAACAAAGTCTCATTATTTTCAAAATTTATAAATAATCTACTTCTGTTCTATATATCTTGCTAAAATGTTTTCTGTTTTTTTTTTCTTTCAGATTGGCATTATCTAAACTGGGATGAAACATCAGATTCAGAAATATCTTACAATTTTTTTGTCTATAAAAGTTTCATCGTTCGACTTAAATAAATGATATGAAAAAAAGGAACGCATGACGTGTATTTATTTATGATGACGTTGACGATACAATATATGAATGTATAGCATAACACTCCTTTAGGATAGAGGGCGCTGACAGCATTATTTCTCGTGGTTATTAGATCCATAATTGTCAACTTTCTCCCCTTCCTGGAGGAGAACTGCATTGTTAAGCTGTACACCACAGGTGGGCAATGTGCGTCCTGCGGCCCAACAGCAATTTTTTTGTGGCCCGCAAATATGAATTAAAAACCCTATGTGTGCAGCCCGCCGAGCAACATCGGCTAGAAAACACCACATTTTTTAACGGCCCGACACCAATCATGGCAATCATGTGTACAAGGCAATGTTAAAACTGGGAATGAAGTGGTGTAAAGGCAGTGTTTGGAGGTTTTTGGAAGTGAACTGCAAAGATCAAAGTTTGGGTGCGGCCCTCAGTATTAAATCAGAAATTCACTTTGGCCCTCTGACCGATTTTTATGCCCACCCCTGCTGTACAGTGTACTATAGTTGTGTGGCAGGTTTTCAATCAAAAGTTTGTGTGTGTTGTGTTGGCATCAAGTAGTACAAATGAGTACCTGGAATTCTTAAAATACTGTATTGGAAAGACCCACAAAACAAAAGCGTTAACGTACGTACACCTGTGTGTGTAGCGCCTATTCCTGACTCTCTTCTGATTGGTCAGTTAAGTTTGCTTGACCCTCCGAAAAGGTCAACTGTATGAATAACTAGGAATACTTGGGAGTGGAGGAGGTTGCAAAATGTGCTTGACTGAGACCAGGGAAGATAGGTGCCTATAAAAACAAAACAAAAATTGCATGTTTAATCTTATTGGCTAATAACCATGCTTAAAGGCCGATTTCGAAAATTTTCTATAGGCCTACGCATGCGCAGTTCAAGTTTCGTCACAAGATTCTTAATTGCGCAAGTGTATAGGTAAAAATTTTTGATTTCTCGCGAATTGGTTGCACATTTTTTTGCTAGCAAAAACTGGTAAAAATGTGAATGCGCATGAGCCGACATTTTCCATTCGCGAGAATAAATTTTCCTGAGCTCTGATTGGTTGCGACCTTTTTTCACTTCGCAAAAAGTAGAAACTGCGAACTACTGATTTCGCTGAAGCGAAAACTCTGATAGAAATGTGAATGCGCATGACTTGCTTTCGACTCGCATTATAATAATAGTGTAGTTTTATATAGCGCACAAATCCATCTAATGTAAGATGCTCAGGGCGCTTGAAATGTGGACTAGGAACTCGATCAATGACTTTCTTCGCCCCTAAGGGTCCCTTCGTGTCTGTCCTACCCGGTAACCTGGTACCAGCAACTCTCGTCGTCCACCACAGGGGCTGTCTGTTCCAGTAAACCGCTCGGCCATTTGACTCACCGAATGCGCTTTCGACTCGCACAAATAAATTCGCAAGTGGAAAACAGACTTTAGGATTTACATACAGTCATTGTCCATGTGCAATACACGCAACTGTATATAAATCTAAGTACCTGTACAGGTATTGTTTATACAAAACAGCCCAGTTTCTAGTTCCGATTGCAGGCATATTTTACTTGCGCCTTGCAGTTAGTGAGCAAATTATTTCTATATTTTTGTATTTATATATACAGACCATTTACAGTGCATGCATATGGCAAGACTAAATAATAATTGATAAAATAAACACTGCAAATTCTTAGAGGCGAATCCAGTGTGGTGCTCATTCCCTGTCAAAAGCCAAAAAATCGAATCAAGTGGGACGTCAGATAGCGGATTAATTTTGCTAAAACCTCCAGTCCTTGGACTCCAACAATGGGGAAAGTTACAGCCCAACCCTCCACCTCGGAGCGTAGGACACGAACCCATACCCCTCGCCCCCTCCAATAGGCCTGATATACATACACATAAAAACATAAGGCTGGAAATAACATTCCTGCATTGCCCCCTCCAATAGTCCTGATATACATACACATGAAAACATAAGGCTGTAAATAACATTCCTGCATTGAGGGAGGTTCTTTCAACTAACAGAAAGGACAACACGAAACTACAGTATTAAAAATTGTAAAAATACAACTGTCACATCATCCAATCAGGAGAGGATTTAGGCCCGGCCCCGATCCCCCTTTTGGGAGGTAAAAAAAAGAAAGAAAAAAAAAAGATAGCCCACAACGCCTCAAATGTCATTTTCGGGCGCCTAGAACACAAAAATGTCGCGGGGGCATGCCCCCGGACCCCTAGGACATTGTTGTCTTGATCGGCCCAAATTTCGGACCCCCCCCCCCACCTTTTGGACATCTCTGTCTGCATCCGCAAGGACACAAGTTGCCACATGCTCATTAATTGGAAACCACCGAAACGAGGACGCATCCTTGAACGAGATCAATATGTTGCTCATTTTACGCACCATGTTCCTCTGAAGTGTGAACTTAGCCGCTTTGTGTGGTGTAGAGCGGATGCTAGGACCTTGATCAACCATCATCAAGTTATTTAACTTCACTACTTGTTGAGAGTGAATATCTATTGATTCAGTTGAAGATTAGAACGAGAAAAATGTACTCGGAAAAACCTGTATATATACGGTAATAAACGCCCCACTTTGAATAAACTTCCCCTCCAGAGCCTCATTTGGAATAAAAACCCCCCTCAATACAAATACAATGAACTTTATTTATATTTCATCATAAAACAAAAGAAAAGCATCTAGGCCTACAGTTGACAAAAACAGAATACAAAAAACCATAAAATCCAAAAACCATAAAATCCAAAAATCCAAATAGAAAAAATCCAAAAATCCCATTAAGATTAAAAAAGATTAAGATTGGATTGGAATAAGATTGGTTAAAAATATAAAATAATAAACAAGAACAATTTCAAATCGTTATTATCATATAAACATACTCGTAATACTGCATTCATGGATACGCAGACGGTTTGTGCACGGTGAGTGTTGAGCTTAAGACCAGATCTTTTAAGTGAGGACAACCCCTTGGGATTTTTCCTCGAATAAACGCGCCTCACCACTCCACCTCCTCCCTCCTGAATGACTGTAAACAAAACTAATTTTTCAACACATTACATAATGCTCTCTGCAATAGAATTACATTTTTACCTAACCTGGTTGGGATCAATTATACGTCTATATGAATGCGCAATGACACATTTTGCAGTAATCATGTGTTGTACTGTAATTACAAATTGGGGCGTTTATTTGAGTATATACGTATCGATTTTACACCAAATAATAATAAATAAGTAAAGGAACGCCTCCCTCGAATAAAACTCCCCTCAAAAGCCTTCTCAACAAAAAATTTCTAGGGGCGTTTATTAAAAAAATACGGTAAATATATATTTTTTTATTTCTGGTAATCCTTCAAGGGTTGTCTGTGTTTGCCCAATTCGCCACCAGCCCACTCTGGAAACAAGTCTTCGGACATGAGAGTTTTTCTTGGTGTGATTCACAACTAAACACTCTATCCCCATCCTGAAATTGTTATTAAAAGTAACTAAACTTACTTCAACCAGCTTTTAGACTTAAAAATTCCTGTCCCTTAGTAAATAGTAAACGAGTACACCACTGCTAATCTTGAGGAAATTTAAATGCTGAATATCATTTAGGCCTAGGCTTTACACATTAAAGAAAGAAAAAAAAATGATAATGCCATAAAGAATACGAATCACCTCAACCGAGATTCGTAAATGGACCGAACATATACAAAGCTACAGGACCTTAACTACAGTTTAAAAAAAAAAAAACCAATTTCCATATCCAAAAAAAAGAGAAATACATATTTCTTTTTTATTAGGCCTATTGTTTTTTTAACATCAATAATTTTTAATCATTATGTAGGGCTAATTTTAATTCAATAGAAATTTATACTTTTATTGCAGAAATTGTAATTTGCACTTTTTTTAATGGTGACTCTTCCACCTTATCTAGATCAGCTGACATTCAGGGTCTCATATAATACATGATACTTTATACACTTGGTCTGTAGGGTCGGGAGTGATGTTTTTATTTGTGAGAAAAAATACCGTTCTGTCACAGCATTTCAGTCCAGGGCTAATCAGAATAGGGCCAGCAACACGCGCACGTCTGAACACTTTTTAGCAACAGTATCGAAGGGCGGGGTTTAGCAACATCCAAGGGGCGAGGCTTAACTCAAAAATGATACGATAAAAAATACTACCGATGTATCTATTGCATATCCGTCCGAAAAATAAGATACAAACCGTCTCAAAATACAACAGCGCCCCCTGGAGTTACAGTAAGTAGGTGCCAAGGTAGGTGCTTTGAAATCAACTTATTCTTCCATTGTATTGGTACAATGCTAGCATTCAGAAAATGATGAAACTAAATAAAATATATCAGTACAGTAAATTATGTTAATACTGTACTCCTTAATTAAAACTGTAAAGTGCATCATAGCCCTGTACATCAATTATCTTTTATAAATATGTTTACTGTATTTTAAGACATTATTACTTATGTTTAATTATCTTCTCTTTAATTTTCTTTATTTTTTTTTTATTTTTTGGTTTTACAGTAAATAAAAATATAGGCCAACTGTATTTTTTTTTCAATATTTGGATCGTGCTTTGGACCAATTAATCTCTGCAACTTTCATGTGGTGATTAAAATATAAATGAAATGAGATGAAAATTACTGTATAAATATAATGCACACCATGTAAAAGGCTTTGTCCACCTGATCTTGCAAGAAGAGATACATTGATGGATGATGTTCGTTCCTTGGAGTAAGTTTCAACCAAGAAGGCTAATAAAAAACTGTCATGCTAAATCGTCTGCATTTTTAGTTTTGTCTGTTAATCTTTATACAGTAGACTAGTGTAGTAGCATCTTCGTAACTGTTATTATGATATGATACTTTTGTATAATCAAAAGGCCTTTACTATTAGCAAGCACTATTTGGTCTCCCCTGGGATATGGCAGCAGGTCTTTTTTTTTCAATGTTCATATTTTTAATGTAATGTTTTAAAATGTTTTGTATGCCCAAACTATTATAAAATAAATTAAAAGTATTTGGCATGACCTTTGACATAGGCATGCACAACTGAAATTACAAGAGTGTTAACTGCAGAGTAGGGAGCTTTCGATTTGCAAGATGATGCGACGCTACAATGGAATAACTCATGCACGATCGACCTATGTTCAGCCATATTTCGTCAAAGAATCCATGCGAAGAAAACGTTCTTGCATGCGGAAATAAGTTCGTAGTAACGTTATTATGTTACATCCTACCACAAGGGTCCAAAGTTGGAAGAAGTGAATTCCAAGAGCAAGGGTGGTGCCAGGATGTGGGGGCGGGCCCTGTTGGGGAAAGATCCCCAGTTGGGGAGAAGAAACATGTCCGGGATTATGGCACCTGTAGATGGCTGGAAACGGCACTCTCAGACTTAAATTTGAATGATCATCTTTTTCTCTCCATTTAAAAAAAATTTTATACAATTTGGGGGGGGGGGGCTGGGGCTTTCCCTTTCCTTTAGATCCATCACTGATCTGGCTTATGAGCTTTCATAGCATTGAATTTTATTTTGCTGCACATTGTGATACACATTGGCAATGACTTCTGTGAGACAACTACAATGGAATAACTCATGCACGATCGACCTATGTTCAGCCATATTTCGTCAAAGAATCCATGCGAAGAAAACGTTCTTGCATGCGGAAATAAGTTCGTAGTAACGTTATTATGTTACATCCTACCACAAGGGTCCAAAGTTGGAAGAAGTGAATTCCAAGAGCAAGGGTGGTGCCAGGATGTGGGAGCGGGCCCTGTTGGGGAAAGATCCCCAGTTGGGGAGAAGAAACATGTCCGGGATTATGGCACCTGTAGATGGCTGGAAACGGCACTCTCAGACTTAAATTTGAATGATCATCTTTTTCTCTCCATTTAAAAAAAATTTTATACAATTTGGGGGGGGGGGCTGGGGCTTTCCCTTTCCTTTAGATCCATCACTGATCTGGCTTATGAGCTTTCATAGCATTGAATTTTATTTTGCTGCACATTGTGATACACATTGGCAATGACTTCTGTGAGACAATTGATAAAGCAGTGAAAACATGCAAATATTATGAATTTGCGGGGTAGGCCTATGGGTTAATTTCCGGAAGATCCTTGCTTGCTTGCTTGCGGGAGGCCGTCCCACTTTTTGGGAGACTTCCGCAAGCCTTCAGACCCTTGCTACCGTGTTGTGCAATCAAAAGCTCCCTACTTAACTACAGAATGTAACTGAACAAGCATGCAATGAGAAAAATAATTATGAATGATTAGGAGGCAAATAAAACAACACACCAGTGATATGCAAGCATTTGTGTTTTTGCACTGTCAAGTTTCCGATTTAATAACGTTGTGTCAATATGGTTCAGCAATGCCACGTGGCTGCTGAATGCTTTGTCATTATTTGTACAAATAGTGTTTTGAATATTGTATTCCATTTTATCTTAATTCACACACCGACTCAATGAGCATTCCATAAATCATTTTCCATCTCAAAAAAGAGAAAACACGGAAATAAAATAAGAGAAAACACGCAAAAGAAAAACATATCAAGGCGCAAAATAAAAATTACTTAGGCCCACAGGTATACAATTAAGCAACCGTAATTCGGAGGCCTAACAATTGAAATTTGTAATAAAAATGTCAGCTTTGTACAATATTCAGCTCATTTGAGTTTAATTTGAAAATCGATCATTTAAAATACTCATCCCGTAGGACAAGAGGTTACCATAATCAATAATAATCGATAAATATTGATTACATCGGTTTGTTACAATACATGCAGACCCAGTCGTCGTAACATTGCCAACTGGAGCACGCCAGCTGTTTAGTCATTAAACACATTGCATTAAAAATTACCTCACATTATTTTATCACATCGAAATTAGAAAAAACATGGCTTCACACGAAACAATCCGATACATATTTTCAGTTATCTTTAAATATGCCAAAAATAGAAGAAAATAAAGTACAAGGGTCTTATGCTACCTTTGAGGTTGTTCCGTTTTTGTTATATATCGATGCATTTTGCCAGCGAAACCAATTGCCCATGTTGGAAAACCATTAAACATATCTAGTAAGCAGAGGCTGCTACAAGCTGCGATAGTTTGTCTTTAAAGTTCATAGCAAAATATTATTATGAAGCCTCTGTGATATTTTTATTCACTGTACAACTTGGTCCAATTTAGGCTTGAAAGCATTGCACACGCTTTCAAACAGGTCCTTGTGGTTATTTTACACTATACTCGCCGCAAATATTGCCACAGCGTGGGTTGTCATTTTTCCACCTAAATTATTGCTATATTAGATCCGCATAAAATATGATGTTTATACACTAAAGTGTGGATTGACAATACAGTGGTGTGGCAATGTTTACAGGGACTGATGTACAATTTAACGTGACTACACTCAAGTAAGTATGACAACATTGGCTATAACACATTCTATCATCCATATTATCTTATGTCCAAGTCAGAATCGGTAAACTGACAAATAATGCCTCAGAGGTATTTTGCATTTGGTTTCAAGGCATCTTTGCCATTTTATCAATTCAAACAGTGCCAACAAAGGCCTATCTGAACACTGTACTTAGGCATAACATAAATCATGGTTGGATCTGACAGTAGAACGTGTTATTCCAAGAAGTTATCAACTCTGGCTACTTTAAATACTACGGCCTCAATCTGCACAATGCTACCGACAACTCAAACCTAGAAACTGATTTGAAAAATAATTCAGTCCACTTCTTTCATTGCATTTCCATTTATAGCGCCCTCACAGTTTGATGTACCGTAGGACATAAAAACTGCACTCTTATGTACAAGTAGGTAAAATACATCATAATTATTAATTGTCAATAATGCATAATTCTCTTTCGGTTGTTATACCCCATGATTTTCATTAAATTATTTAATTATCATCTAATTTTAGGTTCTAATTATAATTCTAAATCGAATAACATTTCGTGTCACAAAAATTCTACACTCCCACAATCCTTGATATTTGAGGCAATAACATATCACTTCATACAATGGGTTAAAAGGTTGATCAATTATTCAGTCCATCTTATTTACATAATGTATATATAGGTGGCAAAACTTTTGATAACATTGCCCAAATGAAGACATGTTAGTCATGTCTGCATCTTGTTTGATCAATTTTAAGATCAATCTCGCATCAAATTTATACATGTGTAAAACAGTTCAGGAATACATTTACATATAGCATGAAATTAACTAAAGGTGGTTCTGCCTTTTGTTGTAAAATAACCCTCTAACCAGTACTTTCTAACAAGATTTTAACATAACAATGCTATTGTGAACAAGATCTAACTCTATTATTGTTTTACGTAGGCACGATTTTAGTTTCCCGCCAAAACAAGCACCATGGACAATGGGTTGTTCGCTGTTCACAGTGGACATGTACAACCCATTAATCATTTTAATTTTTAAGATATGAGATATTTTTTCTGAAATTGAAAATCACCAGAAAGTTGTACAATTTCTACCACATTACATACTGTCACAAAAACATTGAAGAATCAAGGTTAGGGTGGTTCAATATACTGCAAATTACAGCTGATAAACAGATCCGATTTGAATTTCAACAGAAAAATTAGACTGATACGATAAAATTGAATTGCCAGATTTTGGACAATTAATTTACATCAAACACCTATCATGCTGGGGTACACAACGAGCCAACCATGTCAAATTCACAACCAATACCTTAACATAAATATGTTGAGAAAACGGTGAAGATCACCTCCAAACATGATGTACACTGCTTGGAATAAAACAATGACATTGATATAAATCTTACCCCACCCCATCCAATCACCTAATTAAAAATCCCATGAGCTGTCAATATTACGTTCACTGCTCGAAACCATTATCCGAGATAATTTTTCTAAACTACAATACAATTAAGTGTTAATTTACATACAACATACCAAATAGCTCCCACAAAACGAAAGAATTAAATTACTAACAAAATCCTTATTATCTATGTTAACAGTTAAGCAGCATTCAAAGATGGGTCAATGTTTCAGGCAAGGGTCTTATACCGAAATTTCTATAAAGCTAAATTTACACTAGACACGATAATGACACGACCACGACACGATACAGATGTGCGCAGTGTATACAAACCACGTGACGATATGTCGTCGTTGTGTCGTTATCGTGTCTCATGTAAATTTAGCTTAACTAGGGTATACTTTGTCTAAAAAATAAATCAGACCACTGAATAGTATATACAGTAAAGTCAAATAGTGTGAGATATACATATAAATATATGAATATATATATATATATATTCTGATGTTATAAATTGAAAAAGTGAAATAGCATACTTCATTGAAAATGAAGCTAGACTGAGTTATAGGTCTATATTTTCCATCATAGCCATTCCCATGCTGTACAGTAAAAGCACTTCAGAATAACTATGTTGCTAGAAACGATCCCGGATTACAAGGGGTGAGGGCAGTAGTCATACTGTTACTAACCTCTGTTGCATAATTATCTTAACCTTCCTTTGAATGCCAACTTAACTGAATAAAACCGTTGATTCTTATTCTAGTCACTTAAACTACAGTTAACTAATTCTACATTTGTCTAAACTATTAAATAAAAAGTGACAATCAGGATTGGAGATGAGTACCAAATATCTAAACACAAAATGAGAGATAAAGCATAGGATAAAAAAATACTGTGTTAGAGATACTTGTGTAAAACATTGACTTGAGAAAATTTGTGTTAAATTATAATTGAAAATATATAAAGAAAAATTATTCTTAAAAATCATTTTTAATTCTCCCCAAAAAAATAGGGATGCAAAATACATAAATTATTGTGAAAAAAAAGATAATACAATACCACTTTACCCTATTGTCCTAATATGATGGGATACAAATGGTAAATTGTACATTTCATTTACAATAAATTGTAATGTACTGAAATTATTTATTTACAAAACTAATTCCAAATGAAAAAGGGTAAATAGAGCGCTGACACCATTTTATTTATTTTTACTTAACTCATCAATGCATTACAAGTCTATAGTATCCAGACTATTATTTGATTGGAGTGAAATTCTGTGTCTGGATAGATAGACTATCATTCTGTATGTACAATTATATTATTATGTGGCGTCTGAATCGATTCTTTAGGAATCTTGAGAATTTCGCCCAATACAATTTCTTTGGTAATTTAAAATCTTACCCGATATAGGCAAGTGTAACAGACATACCTATCTACGAGGTACAAACACAGAACTTGTACTGCAGTAGAGTTTGTGTACTGTAAAATATCTATCACTGTTAACCTACGAAAATGGCAATACAATTTAATTATCTACCAATATCGTAATTTGATTGTTCTTGCTTACTCTTCTTCTACTAACTGATGTAACACTGCAATAACATATTCTTCTTCCAACAAAACTGTACAGAGAGCTAAATATTATTACAGATAAAAGTGAAATTTGCTACCAACTAAACATAATAGTCTATTATCTTGTCCTGATACACGCATGCAAATTATGGTTCTACAGATATCTACCTAGAAACACAGAGCAGAATACATCAAATAATTTACATAATTACAGCACGACTTTTGTTTGCAATGGAAACAAAAAAAAAAATACAAGCGTTTGTAAAAAGAAAAAAAATGCTTACATAACAATTTTTATATATTTATCGCATATTGTGTAGTCCAGATTTATTATATTAAATAAGTACAGGTTTAAAGGTTAACAATTTGTGTATTGCAAGTAAACTTTTTCTTCAAAATACATTCACCTTCAACGTCCAAATGCTAATTCTAGTTTTTTTAAATAGACTTGTCTCTCTTTTCTTTGGATTCCAGTTGGCACAAAAAATGGAACAAAAATAAAAATTGGTTGAAAGTATGCAAAACTTTCAGTATTTATTAATATATAATATTATTACGATATACCCTTAAATAAACTTAATCTACATGACAATGCTAAAGCGATTAAAATTGTGCAAAAGAAAAGAATGAGTCTTACAATTAATACTAGTTAAAAGACTAAAACTACTACTAAAGAATTAGTTGTTAAAATGTCACCTATAATAAAACCTTAATAGAGGTCTCATTATACAACAGAGCATACAACTGGAACCCACTTAATACCACGTTTTGAAGTTAAAAGTAAAGAGAAACTCTTTTTTTTTGCTTAAGTCAAATTAAATAAAGTTATAAGAAAATACACTTCAAAACACCGAGAAAATTTAACACCATCCATATGGCTGTCACACCAACAGTATATATCTACAAGTTTGGGAGAAAAACAGGAACGAAACGACATACTATTTACTGATTTGCTTGGGACTACTACTTTACACACTGAGAATTTTGGCAAAAAACTCTTGAAACGGAAAAAGGTCAACATGCATACAACCAATAAGTGATGACTAAACTTGATCACATGACCAGGTCTCCTCAGTTTACTGGAATAAATTTACAAGATGCTATACTCTCCAGATGCACATATATAAGTGCATGTGCATAATTCACGCAAGTGTAGTACACGCAACTCTTGATCCAGTTGCGTGCCACCACAAATCTATTGCCACTATACTCGGTGTTGTGAATGTGTTTGGGTGCTTGCTTTCTTTTTATCTCCATCCCTGCAGACAATAATTTTCTATTTCCCTGAATTGCGTCTCTGTATATATCCTTTGGCATGAAGGAGATACTGAATGATGGAACTGCACGTTGATCTGAATTCTCCTTTCTGTCTCAAACTTTCTTTCAACTTTCATTAATCTCAACTCATTACAATCGTCCTCCCTGCATTCCAGACAGATAACCTGAATTCGGTCCACCATTTGCAGTCTAGAATTTAGAAACAATATACAATGAATAACAATACAAGTTAGTTCATGAATAAAATTTTCATGTCATAATCATGTAAACAACAATAAAATATACATATCAGTATACGAGTGAGGATCGATAATCAAAATACTAAATGGACTTTAGTATATTAATTATTTCTTATCAATCACTGTCAATATACAATTCATGCAAAATTGTGTTAGCTGATGAAATCCGAGATCGTTAAAATGATGTTAATTTACAAATTTTTAAAATTTCCCATAGTAATACAAGCCTAGGATTAGAATGGCAGGAAAAGGCAAATGAGAGAAAAGGGCAAAACAGTTTAGTTATGGGAAGTTATTAATAACAATAAATACACATCTTATTAGATGCCTAATAACTGGATCAAAGAATTGTCCTTGACAAAACTGGGAATTTACTTCATATCAATACATACAACAGGATGATCAATTTTATAAACCACCTGAAAAATACTGTAGTAAAAATGTACAGATTTCTTGTAAAAATTAGTGTTTAATAATACATGTTGCTCTTTCCTGCCAATTTCCAATCAAAGGCTTGGTTAGGTGCTTAAGCTATAGTGTTGTGTTTATAGCATGATTAAGGTTAGATAAACAATAGATCTTAATGAGACGATTTTATTCCTTTTTTGGCAAACTTTTTAATTTTGATCGATTGTCAAAAGAGGGCTGTAAATAGGGTTTTCACAGTTAGCAAAATGTTTCTGCAACAAGCATCTAGGCGGAGGAGGAACAACAGAAATTAAATAATTAAGGAATTAAGGAATACGACTGTGTTTGGGAAGATGTGCAATAGAGGGTGCACACCTAGGGTCATAAAAATGAGCTATATTACGATGTTAATGGTTCAGTAATCCGATAAATTTATATTTTTTTAGTTACGAGGCAGAAACAACATATTTGGAAATTTTGAGTCAGTGGTTAGCTAAATTAATCTTTATTTTAGTTGAATTATAAAGAGTGGTGGGTTCACTAAAGAAGGAATGAAAGTGTATCGCCTTAGGTAAAATTCAATAACCATTTTTAGTTGAATGCTGCTCATGATCTTTCCAAAGCTAGCTGGCTTCCAAGCACAACACTATATCAATTTTTCAGAACATTCCTTGCAAATCGGCCATGTTCCAAATCTACTGTATTTGCATCATCAAATATTGTGAATAAGATTTTAAAATGAATTTGCTAAGCAGCATTGCAATGCTTTCAAAAGATGAAAATGGTATATAAATTCATGAGGTCTTCTCCTGAATCGAACAGAAGGTGATCTTTTACTGTAGTTTGGTTAGATCAATTACCTCTGGACTTCAAGTGATGTAATATTACAGTTAAGTACACCCTAAGGTGATTCTCGATAAATTGTATACAGACGGCAATATTGTACCTGCTGTTCCAAAAACATTTTCTACAACATTAAAACAAATATTTGTACCAAGACAATGCTGCTTTGGTTTTGCCAATAAAAAATTGATTAGACTTTGATTTTAATCCAGAAAAATAAATGAAAAGTTGCAAGACAACTATTTGGGTTATTTCTGCATTCCACTACTTCTGCAAATTCATTTTAATACTTTCAAATAGCAGGTTGCAACAACTTCTGTAACTGTTCCATTAAGCGCATCTCTCAAATAAGTGCACTGCCTTGATTAGCTGTATTTTATTTTCAATAAATGGCATGGCTACAAGAATACATACCTAACATGTTTTGATGTTCGTATTATCACAATATGTTAATAACCAATTTTTCATGAATTAAATATTACTAACATTGCAACAAGCCAGATACCCAGCAAACATGAAACATTTTTATAATAATAAAAAGTTGTTGTTAGTTTATGCCACAAAACAACGTTCACACAATGTTGCAAGAACGTTCAAATGTTATGACGTGAAATTAGGATATAAGTACGTACTTATTGTTCTACAAAGGAACGTTTTTAACACCAAACCATAATGTTATTACAAAGTTCTTATAACGTAATATTGTTAGCTGGGTAGGCCCGTATACAATGTATATTACCATCGAAAGTACAATAATTTGTAATAAGCTCCGCTCTCAAATGTAGTAAGTGGTGCAAAGAAACGCCCTAAAATTTCATAAGCGCCATGGCAATGCACTTATTGGAACATTTACAGTACAAGACAATTTAAAGTGAGATCACATATCTACCTCCACATGATGTCAGCTTATTGGATGTATCCATTTGGAAAAGACGTTATCAGAGTGCCCTAGTATTAAACAGAGGATGAGGGGGAAAAAAAAGAGAAAGAGAAAGAGAGAATAAGAAATTATATGATGATTCACACAGGGAAGTATATGGTCATTTCAAAGCATCAAAAAAATGAACATGCATTAGGTGTGGCAAGATTATGTCACAAAACAAACCATTTGCTGAAATTAACATTAAAAAAAACATGACTGCTACTACACTAAGCTGTTCCTTAGCAACCATGTATATATCTATTACAATTCTGGCGATACCAGTATATTTTATATTAGGTTAAATTAATTTTGACTCGATAGTCCTATAGATGTAGTTGTATAGGCAATGGATGGCCTCTGCACTCAAAATTTGATTTTTTTTTTTAAGGCAGTGTTAATGGGCAAAATATGAAAGTTTGAAACAATGTTTTCGAAACAATGTTTAAAACAGTGAGCGTCACTTTTTTTTTTTTTGCATTTATTTCAAGCTATTGTTAGCAAATTTTATTGAATGTAATTTAACCCCACCCCCACTCCAGATTTAAGCTAAATAAAATCCAACCCAAAAATGACACCAAATTATTAGGCTGTGTTATTGTCCCATTGGTCCATTATATGCACAATATTTTTTTCTCATCAAGTTTGTTTACCATGTATACAGTATTGGTACATTGCATACTATGTTTACATTACTTTGCGGCCATTTGCAAGGGGAGAGGGGGGTGGGTATTATAGAGCAGGAGCACAGGGGATTACCCATATTTTCACAGTATATGCAACAACATAACCAAACAACAAAGGCAAGGTGGTATTTAGGCAAACAAAGCTGGGAGTGAACCATCAAGAACAATTACTGTGTGCTAACTACAATTAGTCAACGCCAATTCCTTATCCACTAAAAACTAATAAATAAAATGCTGTGAATCAAATATAAAATGTTAAAAATGTGTATATATATATATATATGTATATATATAAAGATATGTAAATCTACATATATATTATGTAATGGAAAATCAATCACAATGGATTCTACAGCAATCTAATCGCGTACCTTCTGTGTGGTAAACGGTACGTCGCAATGTAATGCAAGGAATTTGGAAAGAAAAGAAAAGAAAAGAAAAATGCATATGTAATTGGTTGAGGTTAATTGCAGAATTCAATAAAAAAAAACCCACTTTTTATTTAATATAAAACAACTTGCATTGGGTCCAAGTAATATAGTTTATTGTAAGGTAATTGGGAAATTATTCCATCAGAATTTTAGGACAGCGTCATCAAAATTATTGGAATGTTCAGTGGGATTGTCCCATAAGGATTGAGACTTTTTCCATCGGAAATATAGTATTGTTATCTCAAAATTTTGTAATTATTATGAGGGAATCACTCTGTTGCCTTTATGATTGTAGAAATTATCCCTCAGAATTGTGGAACTGACAAACTGGAAATCAAACAGTTTAATGGGTAAAATTTTATATTCTTAGAAAAATTATGCTGTGGTTTGTCCATACCCATATTTATTCTAGTAATTTGCATACAGGTGTTATTGTAGTACAATTGCCTTTTAATTACATCATTTATCTGGAGTTTTTGTTAAGTAAATAAGGCAGTTTCAATTCCTGATGTCACTTTCTGTTGATTACTGCTTTGATTACTTTCTTATTCAAGTATGTTTTTGACAAAATATTTTGACCTTACTGAATAACTATTTTGAGTTGTAACTGAAATATGAATGGCTAATACGCCATGGAGACATTTTGACTCGCTAAATGTTTGGCAAAATTGCAAATCGTTTACAAAGTGGGATTTTTCGCAGAGGTACTTTAAGTACATAAAGTGATTCTCTAATAAACCGAAGATAAATCTTTCAAGATTTTTTCCCATGTCATTGAAATAGCATAAGATCGGTAGGGTATTGTATAACCACTGTAATGTATTCTTTTATTTAAATCATTTGCTATTTTGTAAAAAATTTTGAAATAAACTCCAATTTTTTTGGTAATGCTTGAATGTTACTTATTTTAAATTGTTTACAATAATTTTGCACTAACCTGTGCATTAGGTTAATAATTTAGTAAATCAAGCAAAATCTATCTCAAAAATTTTGTATTAGACAAATGAGGTGCAATATAATATCATCAGATTCTTACCTGTCCCATGTCTAAGCCAAAAGATGATGGCTGAGGACTGGGAGCCAGCTGAAACCTTCCACCAAGAATGCTATCCTGGGCTGTTGAGCTGGCGTAGATATCATTGGGTCCTGGGCTGCTAGTTGCCCCGAATCCACGTCCACTTAGTGGAGAGGGTGACTGGGCAAATCCTGCCGGTGCATAGCTGTTCATAACTATAAATAAAAATAAGAAAAATATTATGAAGGAATGCATTATCGAAATTAGGGCATTAACTGTCATAATAAAAGTTGGAACTGAGGCTAAGTGGTTGTGATTGGTTATTGTGTGCACAAACCTAAGTGTGTCAGTTGAACTGATAGTAAGAGCAAATTTGAAACATCAATCCCTTAAATATAAATCTGATAATACTAATGATTATTATTATTACTATTAAGCACAAAAGTTAACAACTCAATCTTCATAAATGCAATGTTAATTTCAGAAAAGCGTGCAGCTACGAGAAAACATGCAAAGAGCAGACAACAGTGAAAATTTGAACTTGGGCTGGGCAAAAATTCGAAAACTATACTTAGTGTTACCTTTGGCTTAAGAGAACACCCAACGATAAGGAGAAATAACCTAGTTTTAAGCTAGAATATTAATACACATACCCTGATGATGATGGTAGTCCCGCCCTAACTCGTGTAGCAGCGTACCTGCATCAGTCCGCTGGATTGTAGCAGTGCGCTGGGCAGGGCCAGCTGTGCCATAATCAGGCAGGGAATATGGCAGTGCTCCTGGACGACGGTCGGCTGTAGTTTGCGCAACACCGGCCGGTAAAACGTAACTGCCAGGTGGGTACGATGCAAAGCCTAAGTATTAAACGATACGACAACCTTCATAATATTTGTTCTTTTTTTCGCAGATATTTTTTTTAAGTACTAAGTAAAAAGACCCAATTTCTTGGTTACTCCAGTCAAACCAATCAGGAACCAGATTCCCTAACCACCAATCAGACGAAGTATTCTAATTTTGATTAATAATTGCAATACAATACAAATGTAATGGTTTCTCCAATTATTTGACCTAAATAAATATAAATTTAATATATTTGATGATATAAATGTTAGGTAGTTATATAGATCTTATATCATGAATACAAAAGCACATCAAAATAATTATGTTAATAGATATGAATAAATATGCAAAGAAGAAGACCACATAGAGAATAATTATAATTACTCAGTGGATATTATTGAAATAGAAATTGTAAAAAACAGAATCATCATTTTTGCAGATGACAAACATATCAAGAAATGCTTCAAAAGAATGTTATAATGCACATCCATATGTATAAACATTACATGATTATGCAAATTATACATGTGAATAATGCATATTATATTCATGAAGATGCAAATTATATGCATGAATATATTAAACAGTAAAATCCAGCTGTGATAATATTTACTCATTTTCTTAAGGCTTATGAATATTTATAAAATGTAGATCACATGATAGGAATATAAATGTAAATGTCAAAAACTCAATTGACAAATGTATTTTAATGTTTATCCATATAATTTGTGTTTATCTAATATGACATTTTTCCAGATTGAAGCAAATGTCCATTTTATTTCTCAGACTAGTCTATTCAACAATGGGGTGGCTGACTTATTAACAAGGGGTTTTGACTTGCAATCAATGGCTAAAATCAGCATCCAGGTAATATTACTGCAATTCTCCCTAATTCACCTACTTTTCTCAATCTGTTTCTACAGATTATCTTTGATTAGGCTAAGAAAGTGTGAGAGATAAATAGCAATGGTAATTCGGTAGAGAAGAGAAGCCATTTGAATTAGGCAGTCAAAATGAACACAATATTTCAGTCTAACGTGATTACAGTAGAAGACCTCGAGCGATGAGCAATTTTATTGCATTCCGCAAATGATTTTGTACACGATAGGCTCAATCCGCTGGCGGCAATCTATGCTCCCCTGTATCCTCGAGACTAAGGCTTTATAATAAAGTCATCAGAGATGCCACGGAATGCTGATGGGTCACTCCTTGTGAGGACGAATTTATTGATCTCAACTTTTCACAAACATGAGTCATGATAACCTTAGAATAGCTCTTCCACGATCTGACATCACTAATTAATCTTGAGCCCGTATCTAATCTTGTACGGCTTTTAACGCGTTTGGCATTCAATGTTTTGGCTGTATGTGATCTAATGCACATCTGCAATTACATTTTCGTTAACCATTAGATTTAGTATCAACCTTAACTGTACAATGTGTAATAATATTCACCTAAAAAATGCATAACTCTAGATGTGGGATCTGCTTTGACTTGTCTTAACCTTTACCATGGCTCTTAATGGATAGTTTCTTTATCTTCACTTATTGATGGTTTAAGATATGCAAAAATGGCAAGAGATTCAATTCATGTTATTCATGTATTATTAGATATGAATTGTGGAAAATCCGTATCAAGTAACTTAATTTGTTATTCTAGCCTGATTTAGCTCCGGTCTTTAATCTGAATTGGTTTTCATATTTTATGCATCATAATATTATAACCTAATTGTATCATATTAATGATAATATATTACATTTTTAAATTTATATTCAAAATGTGAGGTATCACAACTAACGAATAAATAGGTGTGTAAAATATAAAGTATTGATAATATTTAATACTTTTGTAAACCTGTGTTGAGTCATAAACATAAAAATATGATTTATTACTTAACTGCTGCAGCTACATTGTAAATGTAACTTAGCTATTAGCTTTTAATTAAAAAATGTCCTCACCAACAGATGTGTAAACAATATTACTCTTGCACAGATTGAAGCAAAATCTTTACATTGGTTAGTAATCATTTTTAGGATGTTCTTAGTAAAAAAAGTATAAAAATAAGCAAAAACTTTTGACGTCATTCTCATTACAACTGGATAACTTATTTCATCATTTTAAATGAGTATTTCAAACATTTGCAATTTTTAGTGTTTCTTGATTTTATCTTATGTCCTTAGCAAAAAACAGCTGTACAAATAATCAGGCCTGTAACCATGGGGATTAACCAAGTTAAAACTGTAGTAGTATTTTATCATAACTTTGTTTATTATTCTGATTTAAACTTGGCCTATAGGAAACCTGGTTACGGCCCTGAAAATATTTTCTCTTGCATAGAATGAAGCAATATACACCCACTGTTTAGTACCATTTTAAAGGTTATCTTAATAAAATGTGTATAAATAGGCAATAATTTTAATTTGCATCTCAAAAAAAGTTCACAACTTATATGAACCTTTTAAAAAGTACAAATAAATACATTATTTGCATTTTTTTGGGCATTTCATAGATTTTACTTTATATCTTTTATTATTTAAATTCTGATATTTATTATCTTGTCAAAAACTGTCAATAGCAAATAGATTAATTTTTTTGCATGTATATATATATGACCATCACCAATTCCATATATGGTAGTACTTAAATGTAGTTTATATAGTTTTCCAATCAAAATTGTTAAATTATGAAGCATGTTAGAATTTAAGTAATATAGCTTCAACATTTCCTTGATAGAGTATATGTACTATGCAGTGTTTCCAAAAAAAAATTCAATTGTAATAACACATAAAGGGTGTAAGATATATATATTACAACGATATACAAATTTCACAGCAAATTAACATCATAAATAATATGGGCACAGCAAACTTTAGGTATGTACTACTGTATTCGAAAATATATTTCAATTTTCAATAAATAAATTACTATTATGGGTTCTACAAATTTTCTGGCAACCATTTGACTCAATTCAGTGAAAAAAGTGAAACCACACCCACGTTGTCTCTTCCTTTTCACGTTATTATATTTAAACTCTTTTAGTATTTATTAAAATGATCTGTGTGAAATGCAAATTGAATGATGATTTAATGTTGGGCCATTCTTAAGCATGAGGATGAATGACGTTCAATTACATCTACTTCCTGTGTAGGAGGCATGTTGGGTAAGCATCTACCTCACAAGCAGAATACCCAGGTTTTATCCATGGCCTGATGTTTTTTTTACCTGCTCAAATTTTGGTTCAATGTTTTGAAATTAACATTACACAGTCGCATTAAGAACCAATATTTAGACAAAAGCCTAAAATGTCAAATGATATTGATTCATATGAATTCAAAATAAATACTTTTTTTGTAAATTTGGATGCACATTATATTTAATAATTCAATATTTACTTGTGTGTGGGTGTGTTGGAGGAAAAAAGGTATTTTAAGCACCTATTGATATTTCTAAGTTGTTAGCTACATCTAATAATTTAAAGCAATGAAGAGACAAATAGATAAAAAGCACACTCAGAGTTTAGTGTCAACATGTGTAAAAGATAAAATACAATAGAATTGGTGTTCAGAATTTTATGGTCTTGTAACAGGCATTTCATTTTACCTGATGTGTTCGGATAGCCGGAGAAGCCAGCACGACCCGGTCGACTGTTCCTTCCTGGATAACCCTGACCAGAGCTGGAATATCCGCGGAGGCCTTCAAATGAGTTTTCAAATGACATGTATCTTATTTTCACCATCACAAAGTTCTTAAGATCAACGATCATATCACGAAATTATGATTCAATGCAAGAATGCAAAATATTTCTTGGTAATTTAGTTTTTAAGTAAGGCGATAAATCATTCACTACGTATACATTAATTATTGCTGGGAATTTCAAAATTTAAAGCCTGTTTTTTGGAGCACTTTGCAATTGATTCATTAATATGCACTATATTTTGGAATTTGGCTGAAACAAGCTAATTATAGGAATGAAAGTGTATTTTACACTTTCAAACATCTGTGGAAAAAAAAATGTGTACAGTACTTCTCTTGGCGACTCGTAAAAGATCTTTGATTTTATTTGCACATATATGTATCCAAAATTTGATATGCAATTCGTTGATTCAACAAAAGCAAATTTTGTTTGCGTTGACATACATTCTATCACCCCTCCAAAGAAATGCTATTTGTTGAGCATAATTTGTCCCTCGTAAAAAAAGCAACACATTTGATAACAGTAACAGAGTAAGATAAAGTTATCAAGCGAGTACTACTAATACGGTAATACTAACGTAGTTCTATAGTAATATTTGATATTTGGAATGAAGATGGACAAAACGAGACGGACAGAGTGGTAGCTAGTCTATGAAGAAAATGCTATTAGTGTGGTCTTCTAGTAGTATTATTAATACTTGCAGTCACATCTAAGTGTTAATCAAGCTATATGCAGACTCTACTATACTCTATAAGGGAACTAATTGAGTAGAAGGTTGACTGATGCAATTTTAATCATATTTTTATTTTCTAGCCACACAAAGACACACACCCTGGCAAATGCCATTACATTTATATGCAAATTTAATTCCATGACTTCATTAGGCAAATTTATATTAATTATATTGCTATATATATCACCTAATAATTGTCATCTGAATGATAGTGTCAAACATAAGCCTATCATATATAATTCATTTTTGAGAATCAATAGTGATATTTCTGGACCAGTGCCTTGATAATTCAAATGAAAGCTGAGTTTGTTATAAATTCATAAGAGGATTCAAACTGTCAAGATTTTTAGAATAATGAATTGAGAAAGTTGACGAATTTAACACTTGTCATCATAGTATTTCACAGTGCTACTCCAATCTCTTCTTAAGATGTACTCTACTTTTCAAACCGAAACAGAATTGAATGTTTAATAAGCATTCGTATAGATTTTATTTAATAAGATTGTCTTTAACAAGAGCAAGTCAATATAATTGTTTTGTTGAATGTCTATATTCACATTTTTGTGTCAGAAAACACATAAAATGAATTATTACTATCGATTTCATTCTAAGATATACAACTAATTTTATTGAGTTCTGAGATATACTACTTGTACTACACACTGTTGTATCTACTTAGAACAATTTTAAAACTTACCACCAAAGTATGGAATTGCCGAATAATGTGGGTATCCTCGTCCAATTGCAGCGAAGTTGGTCGGATATGCTTAAAGAAGGAAAAGACATTACAATGAGAATTCAAATAATTCAAAATCATAAAGTACATTTAAGATATAATTAAGTTAATAAAACAAGCAAATCTAAATACACAGCAAGCAAAATTTAAATATATAGCAAGCAAAATTTATATTATGTATGAAAAAATACCAGCAAGGATTACAAACTTGTATGAAATATATTAATGCGGACAGCTAAAATATTCAAAACTAACGCCTACAAGCTGGAAAACGTACATCCTACAGTTTCATATACCAATCACTTCGGCATTACTACTTCTTTGCTATATAACCTTTATTCTACTTTTCTAATCCTATTGGAGACTATTTTATCAAATAATATTTGTAGAAACATCCCGAGGCATTTCGTAATTTATTCAGCTCTGAAGAAGCACCTGTGTAACGCTAAACTTCAGCTTTGATCACACCTTTTGGCACCAGTAATCTTTTGGCGTACATGCTGTGCATACGGCCTGGGTCTTGCATCTAAGCAGATTCGATAGTTGATGCGATGATACCAAATTAACGAGTGTCTAAATATGGGTTATCGACATGCATATACACTGAGACATGTCTCATCTGTATTGGATCCGTTTAGAAATAAGAATTTTCTGAAAATCTTAAGACTTGTATGAGACTTTCTAAACATTGTTAAGCTAACCTAGTCAAGTAGCATACACTCTTGAACGTAACCAGTGAATTTCTTTTCAACAGCACTTGTAAGCCAATTGGAGCTGACTTAATAATATAAGATCTATATACTAATCCCTTTAATCTTGATTTCAAAGTGCATTCACATCAAAATTCTAACATTTAAAATCTATTTTTTAATGCAAAGGAGAATAAATTTATGAATGAATTTTAACTTCATTTATAATTTGATAATTAACAAGCTTTAAATAATAATAATTACATTATTAGAACTTTTTGTCAATGACAATTCCGTTGATAGCTATTTAAAATTTATTTCTTATACATGCTAAATTACCAGAGTTCAGACTGGAGTAAAATAATGCTCATTACATTTCTGGATATTAAGGTAAGTAAATTACAATTTTTTATTTATTTTATTCTTAACAATATGCTTCAAACTACAACCTTACTCTATCCTTTAACAAAATCAAACAAAAGCAATAACTAAAAATTAAAACCTTAAAATATAGAATTAACTTTGTATAGAAATGAGTGATGGATTCCAATTTTGTTGCGACTAACATGTTTTTAAATTAGCTTTTAATACTGACAGTATTTAATCAAAGAAATTCCTAGCACACTCTCAGGAATTTTTTTTTAAAGCATTAATCTAATCTTTGTATAATAATTTCCACTAGTATATGATATGCAACTCTACTAATTGCATATTACTATCTGCCTTCCTATCCTTTAAATACAGTGAAAGCTCCATCATGCAACTGTTCATAATACATTAGTATATAATCGTTTTTTGTTTACTCTACCATTAAGGTGTGAAATAAAAAGCTGATGAATACCTAGGTACTGTCCATTGATGAGGCCTGTACCAACATCCACTAACATCTCCCCATCTGCAAATAGAAAAGCCCAAACTTGTTTCTCAAACACAATGTCAACACATACTGCTTTGAACAACATCGGAACCAACCATTTTCTTTACAAGGTTGTTCAAATATTTGGAAAAAAATGTTTGTATTTGTTCAACAGTGTAAGCACTCGGAGCTCCCACTAATCAAATTGGGGAGACCACCGTCGCACTATGCTTAATATATATTCCATATATTACGACAATATTGAGCAAGGCAAGATCAGAATAGTTTTTTTGCTTACAGCATCTTATATCCCATAATAGGACACCTGTAGTTGCATCAAAGAATGTAAAAGAACGTAATAGATGCCTCGGCAGAAAGGCAACTAGAATCATTGTATGTAAAAGAATCATTACTTCAAAAAAAAACCGCATATAATTTTTTCTTCTTTTTACTCATATTTCACACAAGATGACAGTGAAAAAACCTTTTTTTTTCACATTTTCTTTTTGTGCTATTTTGGAAACTGATTAGCTTGTCCTTTCTATTTTTTTTTATACTTTGTAAACAGTCAATAAATAAAATATATTTGAAATTGTGATTATAAGACAAACATTTAAGTCATGAAGATCAAAGATATTCATCTTAATGCATTTCAAACCCCAGCACAAACACACAATTTCTTCAAATAACCTTACTTGTCATTAGAATGAACCGATTTATAAGAACTAATATTTGGGTCAAGAAGATGACAAACAAAATCAAAGACATTAGTTTTAATGCATTAACCCCTAGCAGGAACACTCAATTTTTCCAATAACCTTATTGTCATTAGAATAATTACTAGGGGCTTAATGCATAAGAATTACAGTAATATCTTAACCAAAGCCGTTGCTCTTAAAGTACTAAGGAGCCCATCGCACATGAGAGAATATTTCTCAGCTACTAACCTTGCATAGGCACAGCTCAGCAGATGCGCTTTTAGCATGCGCAGAGTAAAATTCTGCGCTAAATACAACTGTTTTGATTGGTCAATTTTTGTTAAATAGTCTGTAAGGTGTGCTCATGATGTGTATTTGTCCTTGTCTACCTAACGTGATTGATATTTTACTCACTGCCTCACAAGTACTTTGCACGAAA